ATTTCTTTCGCTGCTTCGCTTATGGCTAAATATTCAGCTTCTGTGCTTGACAGTGCTACAGTTTTCTGTTTTCGGGACTCCCAGTTTATAATTCCATTACAGTACAGCATTGCAAAAGCCGTGTAGGACTTTCTATCCGTTATCGAGCCCGCCCAATCGGCGTCAGCGTACATTTATAGGCTTGAATTTCCTCTTTTATATGTTATGCAGTGATCCATTGTACCTGCCAAATATCGAAGGATCCTTTTGGCAGCAATCCAGTGACAATTTTTGGGTTTTGAGTTGTACTGACTAAGTACACTTACAGAGTGGGATGTATCAGGTCTACTGCACACGGCAGTATACATTAATCCTCCTATCAACTCTTGATAGGGCTTATCACACATGTCTTCGCTCTTATCTTCCTCCAGGTTGCCCTTCACGGCCATGGGAGTAGCCACTGGTTTGCAGTTAGTCATGTTGAATTTCTTCAACAGCTCTGTGATGTACCTTTGTTGACTTAATTTTACAATTCCTTTCTCTCTGTCCCAAGTAATCTTCATACCCAAGCAATTAGTTAATTCTCCTAAATCTTTGACGTCAAAGTTTCTTCTTAGGGTTTCAAATAGCTTGCACTTCACCTCTGCGTTGTTGCAGAAGTAGAAGATGTCGTCTACATACAGAGCTGCAACAGCAAATACTCCATTGGTATTTTTGATGAATACATTGGGCTCACACTTGCTTTGTGTGTAGCCATCCGACAAAAACACCCGTTTGATTTTTTCATTCCATGATCTACCTGCCTGTTTGAGGCCATATATTGACCTTTTCAGCTTACAAACTTTATTTTCAGCGTTCTGGGAAAAACATTCCGGCTGTTCCAGAAAAATCTCCTCTTACAAATCACCATTTAGAAAAGCGGTGGCAACATCAAAGTGATACATACCCAAATTCTTATCTGCCACTAAGGCTAATAAAAATCTAATGGTTGAGTAGCGAACTACTGGAGCAAACGTTTCCGCGTAGTCCACTCCGTATTTTTAGGAAAAACCCCTCGCGACTAGGCGAGCTTTAAACCTTTCAAAATTACCCGTCTTTACTTTGAAAACCCATTTTGATTTGATCACGTTTTTATTCTTAGGCCTATCTACCATCTCCCATGTGTCGTGCTTCATGAGCGAATTTAATTCTTCCTCCATGGCTTTTAGCCATTCTTCCCTGTGTTCCGATTGCATAGCATCTTCCACAGTCTGGGGCACATATGGTGATTCCGTCATAACAAATGATGTCTCATAATCGGCCATCCAGTTGGGTGCAGGACGCGTTCTAATGGGTCTCTCTTGCATCGAAGCATCCTCAGGATCCGTGTCTTCATCAGCGGTCACTAGAGTGTCTTCATCAGCGGTCACCAGAGTGTCTTCATCAGCGGTCATTAGAGAGTCTTCATCATCAGTGGTAGATACAGAACTGTTTTCATCAATCGAGTCATCCGGGTTGCCTTCATCCGTTTGCACAGTTTCTACACGCAGCATGTTTGGGTTGGCCAGCTACTTTGCATTTTCATTATTCTCTACCTCGTCATGACTGCGATCATCATCTTCGAGAAAGATTACCTCTCGTGATTTGATGATCTTGGTGGGTTGTCTTAGATAAACCACTCTGTACGATTTTGGATGTTCGCAGTATCCAAGCATAATGCATTCCTTGGATTTGCTATCCAGTTTCTGTCTGTTCTCGTCCGGAACCATGACGTAGACCCTGCAACCAAAAACTCTAAGATTACTCAAGTTTACTTTACATCCAGTCCACGCGTCCTCTGACGTAGCATTCTCAATAGCAGTAGTCGGACTCCTATTTTTCAAATAAATGGCAGTTGTGACTGCTTCGCCCCAGAATCTTCTGTCCAAATTAGAGTCCTTCAACATGGATCTGACTTTTTCAATTACAGTTCTGTTACACCTCTCCGCAACCCCATTTTGCTGTGGGGTGTACGGTGCAGTGGTCTCATGGACAATACCGCTATCCTTGAGTATCCTATCCATAGTCCTGTTGCAATATTCCTTACCATTATCGGATCTAAGTCTTTTTATCTTAAGGTTGGTTTGATTTTCCACCAACTGTTTGAACTCAATGAACTTACTTGCTACCTGATCTTTACTTTTTAATAAATAACCAAAAGTCTTTCTTGAAAAATCGTCTATAAACGTAAGCAAGTAACGAGCACCACCCCAGGTAGGCTGCGACATGGGACCACATAGATCCGTATGGATCAAATCCAATTTTTCTTGACTTCTCCTTGCGACACCCTTGGGGAAGGGTTTTCTACTTTGGTTGCCTTTGATGCAAGCGATACAGTCTGGTGGAGTCACCTTATCGTCAAACTCTATACCATCCGCAAGTTTACTTTTCAGCCTCTTCATACCGCTTTCTCCAAGGTGTCCCAAGCGGCGATGCCAGGTATTCATAGAGACTGGTTTACTCAACATTGCAGTTTCCCTGGGCATAATTGTCTTTGGCTTAAAATCTAATTTGTACATTCCTCCAATATTTTTGGCTATCAATGAGCAGCAACCAGCTAACTTATTATATATACAACATTTATCATTATAAAATACTACAACGTAGCCTTTTTCAGTGACTTTGCTCACAGACAAGAGATTTACAGCACATCCCGGCACATATTTGACACCAACAAGAGTTCTATGTTCATTGTCGCCACCGACAACCTCGACGTCACCTATGCCAGTACTTGACATACACTGATCGTTGGCCACAGCAATCTCTCCACATTCAGAACTGGTGAGTTTCGTGATCCAATTCCTGTGCTTGGTTATGTGGCAAGTGCTGCCAGAATCTATATACCAATCATTATTATTAAACACAGAGGTACTCACAGCAGCAGCGATAAGAGTTTTGTCAGGTCTCTTGGTCTCACTGCTTGAATCCTCATTCTTCTTCTGGTTCTTCAATAAACGACAATGAGGCCTAATATGACCTACTTTCTTGCAATGATGGCAGATCAATTGTTTAGGATCCTTTGACCTTTTCTGTACATTATTTGCGTGAGCACTCTTTGGTCGCCCACGAGTCACAGCAAGTACAGCATCCTTCGCAACGGTTGTGTCAGCAGGTGATGCAATAGAGCTTTCCTGCAACAAATGATTCTTCACATATTCAGATGTGAGTCTCTCATGAGTAGCCTCAATGCCCATGACCAGAGGTCCGTACTCAGTTGGCAAACCACCTAACATTATGACAGCGGCCTCCTCATCATCAACCGTATGACCAACATCTTCTAGTTGCAATACTAGAGATAGCACAGCATTAACATACTCTGCCATATTTACAAAGTCTTCCATTTTAATTCTCATCAGTCTTCTCATGAGGTTTATCCGTCTACTGATTCCTTTGTTAGCGAAGGCGCTTTGCAGGTTCGTCCATGCTTCTCAGGAGGTCTTTGCACTTCTAACATGAGAGAAGCATTGTGGTGAAACATTCAGGCATATGCTGGCAAGGGCTAGCTGATCATGTGTCACATCAGCATCCATCCCTGCGACGCAGTTCCAAACTCCTTCCTTGATCAGCATCATTTTCATGAGAAAACTCCAATTATTATAGTTTTCTGCGCCTGTAAGCTTCTCAATGTTAACGTTAGTCGTCAAGCTTCTAATTTGCGTGGAAAAAGATACCGGTGCTGGTGACGCTCGAGCATCTCTATTGTTATTTCTGCTCTCATCTGGCATTTTTAATTTTTAACACAAAAAACAACGCATAATATTTACCAGGAATACGAGATAAAGCCACAGCTCCAGTCCCAAAATGATTATACGCAAAATACTTCACCACGCAGTCGCATAACCTCATTCATGTTTTAACGTATTTCAGAATACAGTCAATAACTTCTTTAGAAAAATATACCGTCACAAGCATCCCTGTAATGCAACGAACGTCACGATGCAACGAACGTAGGGACAGTCGAGTCCAAAAGAAAAAACTAAAATAGGTTTAGAATACATACTAACAATCCTTCATCTCATTTGATAAGTATTCTCTACCATTATCGCAATACAAATTTACGATTTTTAGATTAAAATGTGCCTCACTTTTTGCCTCGAAATCTTGAAAAACAGAAAATGCATCTGATTTATAAGTGTTGTGGTAATGTTTTACTCCCTATACGCGTCATTTCCGTTTTCCGTTATGTTAGATGTTCTTATGTTATGTTATATTATAAGCATGGTGAGTGCACGTACGAATGAGTTGCAAGATAATTTCCGTTATTAATATTCAAGTACAAAATGTTTAATTTTATTTTCTCATTATTATTTTCTAAGTATGTATGTATGTATGAAAGTTTATTGGCTTCCCTCCCGGGATTGCAAGGCGCTTTTTTGCTTACAAGGAGCGTTCCCCAACCTTGTTTACAACAATTTTCTTTCTTCCTTCATAATACAAAATAATAATATAATATAAATTAAAATAAAATATACCAGAATACTTATTGCTCAACCTCAAAATTACCGCCAAAAACACTATACAAACAAAATATACTGACTGTTGCTCTTATCCTTAATCATCCTAATCCAAAACTAAACCAATTCCGCGTCTAATTCAAGAATTGCCCTTGTATCAACTTACAGTTATAGGCCTATAATAAAAATTAAATACTTAATAAGAATAAAATAAAAGTAAAATAAAAAATATAAAAATAATAATAATAAATAAGGATAATGTAATTTTTTCCTCTATTTTACTTAAATTTCTTAGTTTTAACTCTGCTCTACCTTTACTATTGCTTTGTTTTCAGCCTTATATCCTCTTATGATTCTTTGCCTTATCAATAAACGTAGCCATCTAACAAACTAAACTTGGCCTTCTTTATTGTTCATTTAAAATTGTTAAACTTAAACTCAAACTTAAATGTTTTTGTACTTGATTCACTTCTCATTCTTCCCTCCTGAGCTTGGCGCTGATCTTTCTCTCTCCTCTCTTGTCTTCTTGTCCTTGCTCGCTTTACTTCTTTATTTCCTATCCGTCTGTCTGCTGGCTTCCCATTTTTCTTCCCTCTCGTTCCATTTCCATTCTTCTCCTTCTATCCATATTCTTCTGTTATTGAACTCCACCCAGTTCCCCTTTCTTCTTTCTTCTCTCGCCTTCTCTTTTATCCTCCACTTCATCCTTCTCTCTTCTTTTGACAGATCCTCGTCAACCGCAACCCTCCATCTGTCCCAGATCCCATTTTTCGTCCAAACCATTTCCTTCTTGCGGTCTTCCTCTTCTAATTCTGTTAACACTATGTTTCTCCCCCCTTCTCCCACCCTTTCTGTTGCTCTTTTTATTTCCACTTCTTGTCCCAGTTCCTTTTCTAAAATCTTTTTAATATAGCTCAATCTTTCTTCTAGATTTTTTCCTTCTACCCCCTTCCAGATCAGACTTCTTTTTCTCCTTTCCTTTCTGATTTCTTCCATTCTTTCCTCCCATATCTTTTCCCACTCTTCTTCTCTTCTCTTTGTCCCTTCTGTTTCCATTCTTCTCCTCCACTCTTTTTCTCCTTCCAGCTCGTCAGCGTCTCCCTCTGATCTTCTTCTCCCTTTCTCCTTCGCTTCTTCTATTGTTTCTCTTCCATTCTTTTCTTCTTCTCCGTCTCTGTCACCATTTCTTTCCTTCTTTCTTTCTTGCCCTTCTGTCTCCTCCTCTTTGCTGCCTACTTCCCTCTCTCTTTTTACTACCTTTTCATTCCCCTCATCCTGTTTTTCCCACCCTCCTCCTTCTGCTTCGTCTTCTTCTTCTTTCTTGCATCCTTCTTCCCCCAATCCTCTTCCCCTCTTCTCTATCTCTTCTGCACTCTCCTGCTTTTCCTTCCATTCTCTCTTTGTTCCTCTTTCCAACCTCCATTCTTTTATTTCTTCTCTCAGGTTCCTTACTTCTTCTCTGATTCCTCTCAGCTCCCTCAGCACTTCCTCTTGATTCTCCATATCTTTAACCTTTCTTCACCTCAGTGCCTCCCCTTCCCTCCTTACTAGTCTTGTCCTGCCTTTAACTTTTCTCTTTTCTAGACTTTTCCTTCCTTTCTCCTTTGTACAGCTTCGCCAAGGTCCTTTATTGTTCTTTGCCCTTGTTTTCTCTTCGACACGTGTTTCTTCTCTTACCACGCACTTATCCCGTCTTGCCAACCTATCTTTTCTTGTGTTGCCACTACACCTTTTCTTACACCACTTGATTTCCAGTGGTGCCAACCTCGTTTTTTCCGCTTCTTATATTTCTACTACTTACCATGCCCCTCTCTTCCCCTTCCCTTTCTTCCTCTTCCCTTGCTTGCTCTTATCGTGCACTTCCTTACCGATCTTCCTTCCTTCGCTCTGTCTCTATCTTCTTTTCTTTTCTTTCCTACTTCATCTGTTGTTCTTTTCCTGTCCTTCTTTCTTGTTATCATTAGCCGTCATACTTCTCACCGTTTCTCACTCCGCGTCTCTTCCCCTTCCCCAGTTTCCGTCCTGTATTTTTCTAGCTGTTTCATCCAATCTTCTCCTTCCCCACTTCCTCCCAGCATCTCTCTCACTCTCTCTTGCCATCCTTCTTTTCTTTCTTCTCCTCCGACAGCGCACCTTTCCCATATGTGCTCCCATGTTTCTTCTTCCCAGCCACATAATCTACATTTCCTTTCCTCTTCTTTTTCCCAGTATTTTGCTTCCTTTACCTCGTTTCCCAATCTAAATTTAGCTACTCTTCTCCATCTTTCCTCCTTCCATCCTTTTTCCAGATATCTCGGTATTCCTGGCTCTATAATGATCTTATACCACCTGTTGTACCTCGATTCGGTTATCTTTTCCCATCTTTCCTCCTCTTGCATCTGCTTGTCCCTTTCTTCCAGTTCCTCATATCCCATTTCTCCACTGCTTCTTTTCTCTTCCAGTTTCTCTAATTTCAGTCCCCTCTCTTCGAAGAACTTCCTCCTTTCTTCTTCCCATTTGCTTCCCTCTCCCCTCCTCATTTCATTTCTAATTACCTGGTCCCAGCAGCTCTTCGCCAGGTCTCCCCCTCGCCCTTCCCATAACTTTCTTTCATACTCCCATGCCCTCTTTCCGGTTCTCATTCTCATTTTCCATCTTTTCAGTTCTTCTCTTAATAGATAGCCTGGCGTCCGCCAGTCCACTCCCAATGTCCATCTCAAGAATCTCTCATGTACCCTCTCTATCTCACCCCACTCCCTCCATCCCCATACTTCCGCTCCATATGCTATGATTGTCCATACTAACTTGTCCCATAGCCAAATTCTTCTCTTCCAGTTTTTTCCGAATCTTCTTTTTCCTATCCCCCATACTTGTCTCATCGCAATTCCTGCCTTCTTGATTCTATCTTTCACCTGTAGTTCGCTGCCTCCGTTTCTCCTGAATACATACCCCAGGTATTTAAACTGGCCTACCTCCTCTATTTTCTTTCCTTTCCACCACCACTCCACTTTCTTCCATTTTCCCGCCCCTTTTCTGAATCTCATTATTTTTGATTTCTCCTGATTCAATTCCAGCCTCTTTTCATCCAGGTACCTCTCTAGTCTCCCTAGTAACACCCTCATATCCCCTTCCTGCTCCGCCAAAACTACCACGTCATCCGCGTAAGCCAGAGTGTATATTTTCCTTCCTCCGATCTTTATTCCTCCTCCGCCTCCCTTTTTCATCTTCTCCTCCATATCTGCCGTCAGCAGATTGTACAGCAATGGACTAAGTGGACACCCTTGTCTTACTCCTCTTGCAGTCCAGAATGGTTCTGTTATCCCTTCGCCTGTCCTTACCCTGCTTCTGGTCTCCCTCAAGATCTCTTTTATCCTTTTTCTTAGCCCTTCCCTTATTCCCCTTTCTCTTAGCGCCTCCATCAGGACTCCTCTATCCACTGAGTCAAATGCCGCCCTCAGGTCTATGAAAAACGCTATCACTTTCCCTTTTGCCCTCTTTATCTGTCCGTTTACCAGATAATTTAATACATATATATTATCCGTTGTCCCCATCCCCCTTCTAAATCCCGTTTGGTTTTCCGGCAACATTTTCTTTTCCTCCACTTCCTCTCTCAGCCTTTCAGTCAAGACCGCTGCATATATCTTGTATAACGTGGGCATTAGTGTCACCCCCCTGTAGTCCGATGCCTGTTTCCCATCTCCTTTTTTCTTTATGGGAGCGATTATCCCTTCCTTCCATCCTTCCGGCCATCCCTCACCTCTCCATACCCTATTGCATATTTTCCATGCCCAGTCCATTACTTCTTCTCCTCCGTATTTCCACACTTCGTTGGGGATCTCATCTCCCCCTGTTGCTTTTCGGTCCTTTAGTTTCGCCACCGCTTTTCTTATTTCTTCTTTTCTTATATCCGCTTCCTCGTCCTCTTCTCGTTCTCTTTCTCCTCCCATTACTACCTTGTCCTCTGACCCGCCTAGTAGGTTAACGAAATGTTTTCTCCAATCCTCCTCTTTTATCCCCGTTTTCACTCTCCCCCCTCTTTTCCTCTCCCTATTTATTATCTTCCACACCTCGCCTTCTGTTCTTGCTTCTTCCACCTCCTTTTCAAAACTCTCGTTTACTTTTTCCTTTTTTGTTCCGCATAGTCTTTTGTATTCCTTTTTCGCTTCTCTATAATTTACTGCCTCGGCCCTCCCTTTCCTCCACTCTCTTAACACCTTTCTCACTCCTTTCTTTTTCTGCCTACATTCTTCGTCCCACCACCCTTTTTTCATGCGCGTTTTTGTTTCCTCCCTTCCTCTCTCAAGCCCCTTCCTAAAATCCCCTAGCATTGTCTCCATGTCCTCTTCTAATTTTCCTTTCCTCATCTCTCTCCACACAATTTCCTTTTTAAACCTTTCTCTTCCCTTCTCCGACCAGTTTCCTTTCGCCACTGGTCTTTTTTTCTCCCCTTCTTCTTCCTTCCTCACTCTCTCCCCTTCCAGCTTCAGTATCATTGGGTGGTGGTCTGAATCAACTCTGTCCCCTATCTCCATCTTTTTGATTCTCTCCTTCCCCTCTCCCTCTGCTATTACGTAATCTATCACTGTGCTTCCCCTTGCTCCCGTGTACGTGAACTCTCCTTCTTCATCCCCTCTCATATTTCCATTCAAAATTTCCCAACCTGTTCCTCTTAGTGCCTCTAGCATGACTCTCCCCTCCGCATTTTGCTTTTTGTCCTTTGATTTTCTTTCTCCCTCTTCCTCCTCCTCCCCCCACATCATCCCTCCTCCCCCTTCTTCCCCTGTTCTCGCATTGAAATCTCCTCCTATTATTGTTATTCTTTCTTCCCCCACGCCTTCCATTCTTGTCCTGAGTTCTTCCATTTTTTCCTCTATATCCGCGTTCACGTATACCCCCACTACCCTCCATTTTTCTTCCCCTCTCTTGAATTCTGCTGTCATTATTCCTGTCTTTTTCCCTTCCTTTATTATCCTTCCTTCTTTTCCCATCAGGTGTTCCTTCACCCCTATCATCATTCCTCCCATTGCCCTTCCTTTTTTATTTTTCCTTTCTGCCAGCTGTGCTTCCCATCTATAGCCTTTTGGCAGCCACCCTTCTATCTTCTCCCATCCTTTCTTCTCAAGCCAGGTCTCCATTAAGACTACCACATCCCACTGCATAATCGTATTCCAGAAGTCTTCATCTTTATTTCTGATTCCCGCGCAGTTCCAAAACCCTATTTCCCACCACTCCTTTTCTTCCCCTACTCTTTCATTCTTTTCTTTTCCTTTCCCTCTTTTCTCCTCTTCTACCCTTCCTCCCCCCTCTTCTTCCTCTTCTGCTTCTTTTCTTTTCCTATCCCTTTTATCCCTCTTTCCCCTTCTTTCCCCCTTTTCTTCTTCCCCCACTTTTCCCACTCGCTCTCCCCTTTTATCCCTCACATTTCTTCCCCCACGTTGCTCGACCCCCTCTGCATTTCATACCATTCTCTCCCTTGTCCGTCCTTCAGACACTCGCTACCCTCCTCCCACCTCCACCATTTCCCTTCTATTCTGATTCTTCCATGATCCACCCATACATTCTTTCCTTTTTCTCTTTCTTCCTTTGCTATCCTTCTTAGCTTCCATTGTATCCTCCTTTCTTTCCATGTCAAGTCCTCTTCTATTCTCTCCTCCCTGCCTTTCAGTACTTTCTTTTTCATCATCACGTTTCTTTTCTGCTCTACTGTCTTCAATTTTATTTGAACCATGTTTACCTCTTTTCCCCCCTCCCCAAATCCTGCTGCTTTCACCTCCTGCACCGCGTCCTGTACTCCAATTGCTTTCATTATCTCCTCTGTTTTCTCCCTCATCTCCTCCCTTCTTATTCTCACCCCTTTAATTATTATGTTTTTTCTTTTTTCTTCTTTTTCCTTCCGTTCCCACCTGCCCTCTAATTCTCTCAATTTTTCCATTATTGTATCTTCCTCCTTCCCTGCCCTCCTTTCCTCCTTTGTTCCCCGTTCCATTTTTTGAATTTTCTCCTCTAATTTACTCCATTTGTCATTCTCTTTTTCCTCTCTTTCCAACTCTTCCACCTTTTTTCTGAGCCCTTCCACTTTCTCTTCTAGCTCCCTCCTCTGTACCATCCACCTATCCTCTCTCTTTTTGATTTCTTCCTTTAGATTACCTATTTCCTTTTCTATTTCCTTTTTCACTCCCGCTATCCCTTCCCTCATTTCTCTTCCCTGGTTCCTTGCGCTTTCTTCTATTTTCTTGCTCAGTCCTTCTCCCAACTCTTTGATCATCCTCTTTATCTGTCCAATTCCACTTTCTTCTTCCACCCGTTCTTTCTTCTTCTCCGGCGATCTTCCTACCAAACTGCTCGCTCTGAATATCCATCCTTCTACTTGCGGGTCACACTCTCCTCCTTCTTCTCTCCCTTCCTCCTCCTCCGCTTCTGTTTCTCTCTTCCTTTTCCAAATTTCTTCAATGCTCGTCATGTTTCCCATGCTTATGCTCCTTTCTTTTTTCAGTGCCGCCACATTGGTCGGTCTTCCTCTTTTC